TCTCATATCACAAGAAAAATAAAGTCAGATCAGAGCAGGCAATCTATTAAGGCTGCGGTACTAAGTGCAGTTATCAAAATGCAAATATTATTGGATTCAGTACAGCTTTCCTCCAAAATTAGTTGATACAGCACTGGTGCTAATCATCAAATTATGAATAATCAAATAATACACATGTTTATGTGAATGGAGGTGGAGATTCACAGATAATTAATATCCATGCCTGATTTCTTCTTATACATTTGTTCCTTCTATCGCTTTTGCCATAACTTATCAGACTTGAAACCTCGTCAGATTTGTTTATGGCATATTTTACTCCTCGGCTGATACTTGCAATATAAATTTGCCCAATTAAGCACATTGTAGGTGCTGCCTTAAAATGCAGGCATATGGCAGTCATCAGCCTAATTTTCTGAGCAAGCAGCATTTATCATAACTTAATATGCAGTTGTGACATTTGCAGATCCGAAATGCTAGATACATTTCAGTGGTCGTGTCAATGGGTCATAAAAAATACATTGGCACCATAAAAAGAATCACAGAGAAAGGTGATGAAGAAGGAACATGTTTCAGCGATGCCTGGTGGTTGCCCTCATATTAATTATGGCACGGCATACTGGAGAGGAAGTAGAAGGGCATCATTATTCAACTCATTTGCATGCAGAAAATTAGAAGTCAGTGCAACATCAGACAACTAAGACACTTTTCTAAGCAACTGCCAGAGCATTTCAAGCACTGCTGTTGTGCAATCTCTTTTACTTTCAATATGACTCAGGATAAAGCTGTCAGCTCTTAAGGAATTGCCATTAAAAGTGGAAAGAGTATATACTTCCTTAGGAATGTGGTGAATAGCAGATTAGTAAGGAGTGGAAAAATTGTGTGATCATCCCAGTTGTGTTGGACACCTTCTTCCAGAAAAAGGAGCTTCTTCAGAGCATCTGGAGCTGGCCAGAGCTCCAATTCTACAAGCCACTCTATGACCAAAATAATGCATTTCTAAGGAAGACCTAATCACCACAAACTTCAGTGGAAAATTGGAAATAATAAAATTGAACAAGCTTCAATTTTGGCCTAATTTTTGAAGTGTCTGGAGCTTGGTGGAAACAAATAAAAATTATTTCTGCCAAACTCAATAAAACTAAAGTAATTTGGGACTTTTTTCACTCCAAAGTGGGGAAATGCAGACCATCAAGCTTTTAAAAGTTAGAAACTGTAGTGCTGGGAAGTGCACGGGAATCCACCTACATTTATTTAAAATCCTTGTACATTGATTGTTCAGACTATATACTTGTATACTATATACAAGTATACTGTGTTGTGCTTCACATGCTTTGTTCCCCACGGAAACTGGTTTGATTTCACCCGAGGTGAGAATTCATGTTTGCTGATTCTTTTACTGTCTCAAACCCATTTTCTTATGGCTTCACAGCTTCATTAAGTCTCCTTGATGAATTTTCATCAAGGTGGAAAGAAAAAAACTCAACTAGCCTGTGTTATTGTAATCTTTCTGGCAACGCTTTGCTGCCCCTAGGTTTAGAGTATAGTAAAGCAACAAGAGTCTTTGACATAACTTGGCAGATAGATTTGGATACCACAGCCAACATTAAGTAGTGGGTGGGCTTTAAATTAGCAATACTAGGTCTCCATTCCCTGAAAAAATTATCCTTCAAATTATGTGCAAACAAATGCTTGTCCCCTCCTAAAAAAAAAATCCAGTCTCTAATCAGAGAGAAGTGATTGTTTCCCACTAAGATTGGAAGTTTTGGGTTATATTTTTTTCCTTTTACTGGATTCCTATTTTATTCTGTTTACATTTGATCTTAATTTGTAGTCTGTTTTACATTTTATTCAATTCTCTCCTTTCTCCAATTTTAAAGTCTTACCTTTTAAAAAAAAAACAAGTTATGCTATCTTTGTTGTATTTGACCATTGTTTCTGAGATGTTTGTTAACTTAGCTGGTCATTGACTATAGTTAAATGAGTTTGAATTTGAGTGTTGTTACAGAACTAATTATAAAAATAACTGGATTTACAATTGAATCCGTATTACATTTCATACTGCATTTCAAACAGTATTTAATATTTGTATGTTCACTTTCTTGCAGATCCTGAATATTTAGCAAGCCTGAAATATATTTATAAATAAAATAAAAAATTATGAGAATTTTGCATATTTCTACATGCAATATTTGCATATTCTGAATCATGACTGAGTTCTGTGATATATCAGGGACACAGAATATAGCATGTTCTGTAAATCAAGGAAATAGTAATATATACCATAGGCTCCTAACCATCTTATCAGAAGTCCTCTTCAAATGGAATGTTTTGAATACTTGTCCCCTACAATTGTTTTAAAATGTCCAACAACAGTCCTGTGCCATTTAGTCTCAGAATGGATTCAGACATCAAAAGACATGGCTACATTGGTAGTCTAAGCAGCAGTTTCAGATAGATAGGACTCCGTGTTCCATTGGTAAAGCCTGACCATGAGTTACATTACAGCAGAAAATTCTATTAACGAATCTGGAGTTTTATCTTTAACAATCTTTATCTTTAAGAATGTTTGGTAGCTTGTACGTCTTTATCTTTAAGAATGTTTGGTAGCTTGTACATCATTTTTAACATCAATCACCAGACTTGTCTTTAGATAGATGATAGATAGATAGATGATAGATAGATAGATAGATAGATAGATAGATAGATAGATGATAGACAGATGATAGACAGATAGATAGATAGATAGATAGATAGATAGATAGATAGATAGATAGATAGAGATAGATAGATAGATAGATAGATAGATAGATAGATAGATAGATAGATAGATAGATAGATAGAT